GTCCTCAGACTTTTTAAACAGGGGGCCAGCTCACTGTCCCTCAGACCGTTGGAGGGCCGGACTATAGTTTAAGAAAAAACTATGAACAAATTCCTATGCACACTGCGGAGGCAAAAACACCCGGCGGGCCGGATTAATGGTTTCGGCGGCCGCATGTGGCCCGCGGGCCGTAGTTTGCGGACCCCTGTTTTATATCTTAACGTTAATCTCTCCCTACACCCATAAAGGCGTGGTTTTAGGGAGTTTAGCACGTGGATGTGGTGAAGTGTATGGCTGTATGACTTCTAATTGAGTAAAGGCAGAATTAGACATTTCTAGATATCAATCTGTGATTTAAAAAAAAACTTCCTTCATGCAAACTAATGTTGTATAATTACAAAATAGAATTATATCTTATATTTTATGAATCATCAGACACTGATACAAGCCAGAAAGCTTGCTGAGAATATAATGTCATGTACATTCAAGATGCAAGGAGCAGGCTTAAATACTGGGGAAAAATCTTTTCTCTATAACAAGAAATCAAAGATGTAGGAGACTAAGTCTGATGTGGTTTCTTCATTTGTTTTTAAGGTCTGTATGAAGGAATACCAGGTTATTTGCCTTGTTTTGTTCATTTGGTTTTTATTCCAGATGCTAGTTGGTCAGCGTTCAGTTTAAAGTCCAGGGACGAGGGGAGTCTTCCCGTGCTGCTCGGACCCTTGTCTTGGGCAAGTCCCTGACTCTCTGGGACCTCACTTGGGCTTCCAAACTAAGGACGGTAACACTTCCCTTCAGTCACCTCCTGGTTTGTTCCGAAGCTTAGAGAAGTCGCCCTCCAGACGAATGCTCTTGCGAGGTGAGCGGCTCAGAGCTGTGAGGCAGCATGGTGGTGGGGCTGCGGCGCCGTCCGCCCGCCATGCACACGCTCCGGCTCCCTGTGAGGCCGTGGTCTGTGCAGCAAATGTCTGACGTATGTTAAGGCTGCATTCATGTGAAGGATGCAGAGCATCATTGCAGCTCATCTCAGAAAGACAGGATGCGTTTCTGTGTCCCCACAGTGCTCTGCGTTCCCTGGGGACGGTCACTAAATAAGCATCGCCCTTTGCCCCATAGAAACACAGAGCAGAGCAGGCAAGAGGACTGAGCACAGGAACATGTGCTGTGTTCTCCGCCGAGGGCAGAGCTGGCGGCATGAGCCCCGGTGGAGGCTGGCAGATGCGAGTTGAACAGGAAAACAAAAGCTCCCAGACACTGAAGACTGGTCGACTGTGTCACCACAGACAGTGTCATGTTTTTGAAGGACCTTTGGAGACAGATGAGATTCTTTCCTATATGACGGGGATGACACACAGCGACTGGAAATGGAGAGCAGGGTCCCAGGTCCCCGAGTTCCCTCCCCAATCAGACACACCTGGTGGGGCAGCCATATCGCTCAGGCCGTGTAAACCGAAGGACCCAGACTGTCACAGACTGTCCCTCTGCTGGACCAGAGATGCTCAGTGCAGACCAGGTAATTTAGAAACTCCCTGAACTCTGCCTGCGTGTGTATGTGTGTGCCTGCGTGTGTGTGGGGGGCGGGGGGGAGAGGGGAGGGAGAGAGAGACAATTGGTTGGCATGTCTCGGTCTGTCTCAGGTGTGTGGACCAGCAACAGCTCGTTGCTGTGGGTAAAGATATAAGGACCTTTTTGTTCGTAAGTCCCCGAGTTTAGAAAGCTGGGTACCTACCAGGCCGTCCAGTTCCCAGATGCCCAAAACTTAGTGAGTAAATGAAATGTCATTCATTCACTTCTCATTCACTTAGAGCCCTAATGAATAGAGTTTAAGAAAGAAACATAACTTACAATTTCTTCATTACAAGTTATCATGCAACTTAGACCCCTTGTGAAAACTGTTGCCTTTCCTTCTGTTTGTGTTTTAGCTTATAAAATCGACAACATTTAAAATGAAGAAGCTAATCTCTTTAAATATTTGTAATGATTTCTCACGCATTCTTTTGACCCCATCAGGCAGAATTCTCCTGCCTCCGAGTGTGGGAGGTTTGACCTCACGGCCATAGATCTTCCTGAGACAGGAGGTGGGATGGTGACACCCAGCTCTCCTCAGGGCAGGAGAGATGAGGGTCCCACACCGGCACACGGAGGGGGATCCACACAGGCACACGGAGGGGGATCCACACCGGCACACGGAGGGGGGTCCACACCGGCACGCGGAGGGGGATCCACACCGACACACGGAGGGGGATCCACACCGGCACGCGGAGGGGGGTCCACACCGACACACGGAGGGGGATCCACACAGGCACACGGAGGGGGATCCACACCGGCACACGGAGAGGGGTCCACACCGACACACGGAGGGGGATCCACACCGGCACACGGAGGGGGGTCCACACCGGCACACGGAGGGGGATCCACACCGGCACACGGGAGGGGGGTCCACACCGGCACACGGAGAGGGATCCACACCGGCACACGGAGGGGGGTCCACACCGGCACAGGGAGGGCCCCATGGGAGCCAGCGGCTTCCCTCGGCCATGCCACAGAGCAGGCCCTGCTATGGGACATGACAGTGGGTGTCGGCCCCCAGCGCTTTTTCCTGGACCGAGTTCATTCATCGGTGCGCTGGGGAAGGTGACTTATGAGTGGGTAGGGGTGAGTAGGTCTCTGACCATCAACAGGGGGACATGGTCCTCAGCCTTGTGATGACGGGGGAGCTGCTGGGAGGCCCAGAGACAGCAGCAGAAACCACCCCCTTCTGGGGACAGATGGGCTGCAGCTACTCCTGGGATGTGAATCCACCAATCACGTTCCCAGTGGGGTTGGCAGGGAGGTCATGAGTTCAGTGCGACCGCTGCCATGCTCCAGGGGCAGCCCTCCCTGTGGGGTAGGGAAAGCGAGGACATGACACAGGTGTTGTCTCTTTCTCACTGTTCCCATGGGTTTTCTTCCTTCCAAGTTCTTTAGGGTGATAGGCTGTGCTTCCTGAGAGCACGCTGAGAGAAACACCATGGAAGTCGTCAACCTTCTCTGACTGATGTCTTCTTTGACCAGGTGATCAGGTGCTTCAGGATGGCACGTGGTTCTCTTGTTCTACTTGTGGCCGGTTCTCCGTAGGGTCAGTGGCTGGCACTGGCTACAAGGTCCCCAGTTACCATCGTGGGGCGGCCATGCGCTGGTCGTCCTGATGCTGCTCCTCTGGTCAAAGCCCATGAATGTGCACTTGCCAAAAGGGAACAGGGCTGATATTTCAGAACTTCACTAGAACAGGTTGCCTACGATTCTTAACAGCATGAGCCCTGGGCCAGGGGCGTCTGTGGTTGGGGTTCCTCCCTCCTGCCGCCCGTTGGGACTGCGTATGTCCTATCCTTGGGGAGATGCTTGGTAGGAATGAGCCAGGAAAGGGACCGCTTTGGCGGCAGACAGTTGGTGATGCTCTATGACTAATGCGTGGCCAATTTGATTTGCTGATGTTTAGACGGATGTGTTAGATGTTTAAGTGTGTGGGCTAGAGAGATGTTTTCTGTCATTAATGTGTCGAAGAACAGATCTGCTCCCAAAGAAGGCCTTCCTGAGGGAATGGCAGGAGCCCATGGAGAACGCCCTGGGCACAGGGGGAGCCCGCGGTCGGCGCCCCTCCTTCCGTCAGCTCACTAAGTGAGCTTCCCACCATCTTCTCAGTCTGGCTTTTTAATCATAGAAACAACAGGTGTGACAGTGCAGCTCCCATACCCAGTCTCAGGGGCGGGAGGGGCCCAGGTAAGAAGGCCTTGACTGCTGCCCGTGTCCACGGTGAGCGGCTGCGCAGCGTGGAAAGAGGTGCATCCAGGTGGCCTGTCAGTGTCAGACAGGACGCACTCCAGATGGAATGTAGCAGTTTGTCGTTTCTAACATGGTCTTTTTTCTACAACAGTTTTCCTAAATACTTTTTTGAGACTGGATGTGACAGTTAGTCACACATTATTTCTACCGGCTCACCCAGCTTCTCCCAAGGCCATGAGAGGTGACTGGCAGTGCTGCATGTCAGGCAGAGGCTGTGCTGGATATGGTTCTGCAGCACCAGCTCCCCTCTGTCCTGCTTTTCACAGGCTCCTGGTCACCGCGGACCTCCTCCCTCCATGCCCACTGAGATACTTGTACAGGATTCTCAGTTCATCAGATTTTGTTTCTGAATCTTACTATGGCCTTCCTGCTGATCATGTGCCTTCTGATAAGTTACCTCCAAGGTGCCACAGTCAGAATAGCTCTTCACTCAGCCCAAACATGTGCTTCTGACCCGAGCGCAGAGTAGGTGTATCCTCTGTGTGAGTCCTCAGGACCCGGGCTTTCCTCGCGCCACCTGAGCACCACTGGGAAGCAAGCCCTTCGAAAGCAGCCACTGCGCACATCTGTTTATGAGCTGACACCAGGGATGCTCATGGACTCTCACAAAGCCCAGTAATGATGAGTGTAACTGTGGCATATCTGGTTTGGGCTGCAAGTACATAAAGCCGATAAAGAAAAGTCATTCTTGCCCTAACCAGTTTGGCTCAGTGGATAGAGTGTCAGCCTGCAGACTCAAGGGTCCCAGGTTCGATTCCAGTCAAGGGCATGTACCTTGGTTGCGGGCACATCCCCAGTAGGGGGTGTGCAGGAGGCAGCTGATCAATGTTTCTCACTCATCGATGTTTCTAACTCTCTATCCCTCTCCCTTCCTCTCTGTAGAAAATCAATAAAATATATTTTTTTAAAAAAGAAAAGTCATTCTCAAAATTTAGGTGCAATGAAAAATTAATATTTTTAAATTGTTTATTTTAAGATTAATGAAGGAAGTCAATAGTGAATGTAAGTGTTTTGAACTGCTCCCGTCGAGCAGTCTGTTTCGCAGTGTCGACACGCAGCGGGACCTCGGGGCTGTGTGGTGTGTAGAGTTGACGGCAATTAGCTTGCTGTCCATGCTGTTGCCGCTAAACTTCACATTCTAGCCTCCACTTCTTTCTTTTCTGTTCTTTTTTGTCCTTTTTTTTTTACTTTCTTTGCAGAAGACCATCAAATGAACTGTCACAGTAGTCGCATAATGCAAGACACAGAAAAAGATGATAATAACAATGATGAGTATGATAACTATGATGAGCTGGTGGCCAAGTCCTTGTTGAATCTTGGCAAGATTGCCGAGGACGCAGCGTACCGGGCCCGCACGGAGTCCGAGATGAACAGCAACACCTCCAATAGTCTGGAAGACGATAGTGACAAAAATGAGAACTTGGGTCGGAAAGGCGAGTTGAGTCTAGACTTAGACAGTGATGTCGTTAGGGAAACAGTGGACTCCCTGAAATTACTAGCACAAGGACATGGTGTGGTGCTGGCGGAGAACATGAACGACAGGAGCTATGCAGACACCATGTCGCAGCAGGACAGTCGGAACATGAACTACGTGATGCTGGGAAAGCCCCTGAACAACGGGCTGGGGGAGAAGCTGGTGGAGGAGAGCGACGAGGAGGTGTGCCTGAGCAGCCTGGAGTGCCTGCGCAACCAGTGCTTCGACCTGGCCCGCAAGCTGAGCGAGACCAGCCCGCAGGACAGGAACCCGCAGCCCAGCCTCAGCGGCCGCCCACACCTCCGGCCAGAGGACGACTTCTCGGGCAGGACGCCGGACAGGAGCTACTCGGACATGATGAACCTGATGAGGCTCGAGGAGCAGCTGAGCCCCAGGTCGAGGACTTTCTCCAGCTGCGCAAAGGAGGACGGGTACCACGAGAGAGATGACGACACGGCCTCCGTCACCTCCGACAGGTCCGAGGAGGTGTTCGACATGACCAAGGGCAACCTGACCCTCCTGGAGAAAGCCATCGCTTTGGAAACGGAGAGGGCGAAAGCCATGCGGGAGAAAATGGCCATGGAGGCCGGCAGGCGGGACAGTATGAGGTCGTATGAGGAGCAGTCGCCAAGACAGCTGCCCGGGGAGGAGAGAAAGCCCAAACCCAGCGACAGCCATGTCAAAAAGCCATACTATGGTAAAGGTAATATTTCTACCTACGTAAGTTCCTCATGAAAGCGTGAGCCTGAGTAAAAGATGTCAATGTGGCCACAATTAAGTGTGCATCCCGGTAAATTGTATCTCTGATGCACAATTCCTAGGGCCGATTCCAGAGTTACAGATTGTGATTATAGTTCTGAAGAGCAAATACAATGTCTGAGAAATACACAATGCAGCTCAGTGTCATATTAGCAGAGCAGATGACGAACAGGATGTTTCCGTGGAAGAGGCATGTCTTGGTGCACGTGGTAGGAACTATCAGGATGAGCTGTGATCTTAAACACGGACCACAGTCTGAGTGGCAAGGGTCTATGCAGCAGTCAGTCGGGGTGAAACGTGCATCTTCTAACATCACGATTTATAAAATTATCATCGAATGACAGTTACCGATAAAACTTCCCCCATAGAAAACATCCCTGAGAGAAATTGAACAGTAACAGAAGGACCGATAACATAAGACAAGGGCAGGCACTGCACATTAATTATCGTAGGTGCTTGGCGGCTGGAGCCATTGGCTGTGCAGGGCGTGTGTGTCCCAGGCTGAGAGCAATAGCAGTTTCCTCATAGAATCACTCCCCTCACTGATCCGGTTCAGTGTGGAAGCAATTGTGGGGTTACTTTATCATAAACAGGCAGAGCCTCCCAGTGTGGAAGTGTTCGTGGGTTTGTGTTTATGAGGTATGTGAGCACATATTTGCATACATCTCTATGTTTAATTACATGCGTATTAGTCACTGTGTTTAATATGTATATTCCAACCTGAGCAATTGACTTCATGTTCGAAATAACTGCTGTGTCCCCTTTCAGAAGGAGGCAGGTTATAACAACCTCGAGTAGACCTTGGGCACTGCAGGTTTCAGTTACAGACACTTAAAACTCAGGAAGCCATTTAAAGAATAAAATTGGTGATTCCTTAAGTCCCTCCAGATGAGCACCAAACAAGATCCTCTGTGTTGTCTGCTATTCTATGCCTTATAAACACAGATCCTCCCCGGGGAGCTGACGGTGAGGTTCAGGAATTTGGTTTGAAAATCAGTTGCTCTGTAAACTTCAAAGGATAGGAAAACCTGCTTTTTCTGCTGTGACATCGTGTGTATTCTCCTCTCAATGTGCACGTAGCCCCACAGCACGTGGCCAGCACTACCCCGGGTCCCCTGGGCACGGCCCGAGCCAGAGGCCTGCGGCTCCTGCCCTGAATCGAGCCCGGTATCGGCTCAGTCATGCGGGTGCAGGCAGAGCCTTGGCAGGTGTGGACGTGAGGAAGGGGTTGTGCTCAGGCCACAGAGTGTCGCTCAGCGGAGCCCCGGGCTGGCTTTGGTGCCGTAAAGACCAAGACGTCGCATGTACATTGTGACTGTAGCGGAGTCCGTTAGAAATGGTGTGTCAGATGTTTGAGAATCATCCCAACAGTTTTAGGAAGAAATAGTGTCTCTGCCATGGGCTTGCTCAGGTGGCCACGCGATAGGTTCTGACCTAGACGTCTGCAGAGTGGACTGTGGTGGGCTCCGCACGGAGCCATGGGCCTTTGGGGCATCCCTCCTCTGGTTTCCGTGGTTCCTTTAAGCCCAGAGTTTCCTGTAGATACGGATTCGTTTTGTTTTGTTATGGTTGCTTTGTATGGTTTTTGTTTTGTGTAAGAAATGGAATTCCAGTGGCTTGCTTCCCCTAGATCAGTGGGGATGGAGAGGGCACGGACAGTAGCGCTGAGATATGCTTTTCCCGGAGCAGGGCGGGCTGGGACTTGGCCTTTCCAGAGGAGCTTGGAGGGCATGGACCTGCCTCTGCCCAGCTGTTCCAGATCTTCTCCCTCAGTCATTGTGTTCCCCACTGTCCCAGTTTCTTGTGAAGTTGCCACAGTTTGTCAGAGCCAAATTAGTGTGGCCAGGCAAGGACCCAGAGCGGGCAAAGAGATGAGTGCCCTGTTTAAAGAGATAGCTTCTCACCAGCACGGCCAGGCAGCCCTCCGGCCAGAGCGTCCAGTCTGTTCTCAGCTCCTCTGCTATTTTATTAAAGATGAAGGGAACGTGCGTACCATTCTCATTTAGACGCAATCTTCTCAAAATGATGTAAATGATAAACCAGTAACCTTTCCAGAATCCTGAGCTAAAACAAAAGAGGTTCATCCTGAAACGCCTTTATCTGCTTCCTAAGCCTCACTGGACAGGTGTAGGAGCAAGCTGAGCCCGGCACTCGAGTCTTTTGGGTATTGCTTCGAGGTTTGCTGTTGAATTGTTGGTCTGTTTGCTTGCTGGGTTGTTCTGTGTTTGCTCCAGTGTTTGCCTTCAAGACGAATTGGGATTGCAAGAAATAAGAAAGCAGGGGGCGTAGTGGTGAAGCGAGTGGCAGCTCCAGCCCGGCTCACACATCGAGAGGAGATTATGCCCGCTGTCTTCCAGCACCTGAGGCCGTCTGAGCCACACTGTGCCCACACATCTGATCTTGACTTCAGAATACTTTCAAAAACTGTGAATGATTTGTTAGGAAATCTTAAGTGTCCTGATGAAAAAGAGACACTTAATTACTAATAATAGTTAAAAGTTGCATTTTGTCCTTTAAAGTCATTTATATCTAGGTTATGACCTTAATCAACATTTTCCTATGAAACTGTTCCTGTGTGCTTTGGTATTTACATTAATTAACGTACACCGATGTTATTATGAAACTGCTTACAAGGCAGTGAAACGCTAGGCTTCGGGATTGCATGTAGGAGACACTCCAGCATGACATCTGAACGCTGACATCACAATAGCCTGTTTTTAGATTTGTTTCTAGTGACTATGATCCCCAGTAGGTCAGGAAGCAGCAGACAGCGTATCTAGGAATCACCAACATCAGCGCTGGTTTTAGAGACTGCAGACCTGGAAGAGCCGCGTTCCACAGAGCAGCGCACTAGCTTACAAGTCAAGGGTCTTTTACGGAAACAGAGGGTGTCGATGTCCCTGCCAGCCCTTGGTCTATTTCCCTTTACATGACGGACTCAAGAAAAAGTCCTTAAGGCTTTTAAAATGTTAAGCCAGGCTTTTTTCTTTATATAAAATGAATACTTTACCAAAAGTAAAACATGTTTCTCACAGTCATGATTGGCTTGATTAATAAACTCTATAATAATAAAAGCATAATATGCTAATTAGACCAGATGTCCTTCCGGATGACCTTCCTGACGAAGCTGGGGCTGCAAGGAAAACCTGGGTCCCCGGGGGCCTTCCAGTGGCCAGAGAGAAGCCCGGGTCCTGAGTGCCAGACAGAAGCTGGTGCCGACAGCTAGGGGAAGGAAGGCCTACTCTTACACAAATTTCATGCATCGGGCCTCTAGTCTACATATATAAAAGCCTAAACAACCTTTATGACCTGATGACCAGCCAGTAGCTATGACACACACTGACCACCAGGGGGCAGACGCTCAATGCAGGAGATGGCCCCTGGTGGTCAGTGCACTCCCACGCCAACCTCCCACAGTCCCTCCCCGCCCCCCACCAGCCGGCCAGCCTCGATCGGCCCTGATCGGGACTGGGCGAGACAGCCCTGATTGTCCCTGATCACTGGCCAGGCCAAGGGACCCCACCCGTGCACGAATTCCTGCACCAGGCCTCTAGTATCAATATAAAAGCACTGGACCCTGGATCAGGTCCTCAGACTCACTGTCTGTTGATAATCTGTGCAGGTGGTTTTCAGAAACCATGCTCTGCACACTCACGGCGCTGTTTAGACTGTTTCTGGAGTTGTTTCTGCATGTTCATGCACTGGGTCCCTCTGGGCATAGAAGTACATGTGAGCAGTATGGCTGCGTTTCTGCCTCGGGCTCCTCCCCCAGCAGCTGCAGAGCCGCTGACCTGCGTGCACGCGTCCATCCCGGGGCCTCCTCAGTCCCGTGCACGCAGAGGAGCCACCGGTGCCCGCGGCCGCGCTGGGGCAGCTCCGAGTGCACGCCCGTCAGGGGGGTCCCGCCTCTGGGTCATTTGCTTGCAGTGCCTTCTGAGAGTTCAGCTTATTTTCAGAAAATCTCTAAATTGACGTGCTACCTGGCAATTTCAACACCAGCAAACCTGTCCCTTATGTTGTCTACAATCAGACACTCCACAAGAAGGCCATCTGCCAAAGGGTGTCTGGATGGCAGGACCCACGGTTGAATTTCACAGCAATTGCACAACCACCACGGGGTGGCTTTGTTCTCTGAGAAGGTCACTGTCTCATTCCGTTGGTTTCTGTGAGCTTATCATGTAACACACGGGAAACAATAGTGCAGTAGGGATAGTCTTGTCTTCTTTTTCACAGAAAGCAAGATATTGTATGCTTCATGATTACACTGTTTAAGGTCAGAAATCACGCCAAGCCAAAGACCTACGCAAAAGCCCAGTGCCACGGCGTCTCCCTGCCACCTGCTTTGTCTCTTTACTCATCAAGGTCTCTTCAGAGTGTGAAGTGAGCACATTGTCGTCAGTGGGTAAAGGATTCACTCTCTTGACACCTGTTGTCGCTTTTAGATCCCTCGAGAGCAGAAAAGAAAGAGAGCAAGTGTCCAACCCCAGGGTGCGATGGAACTGGCCACGTAACTGGGCTGTACCCGCATCACCGCAGCCTGTCCGGATGCCCGCACAAAGATAGGGTCCCTCCGGAAAGTAAGTCTGCCTCACGATCCCGCACACACCGACGGCCCTTCTGTCATCCTCTTGCCTCTGTCATTTCCATCTGTCCTGACGGGCAGCCCCAGTGCAAGTGCACACGGGCCAGCAGGCTCTAGAGCTCACCCTCCGCGGGCAGCGTGTGCTCGTGTCCTTCCTGCGGGACTGGCCCTAGGATGGAGCCCGGCACCCGGCTTCCTCTGCCCCCAGGCAGGCCTGGCCTCCAGGGCGCAGCTCACTGGACCTGCTCCGCAGCCTCAGGCAGACTCCTCAGCAGCGCAGAGCTGAGTGCAGCTGGTCCCACATCCCTCCCAGCTTGAAGCTGTGGGGGCCTTGAGGAAACCCCTTATCTGGACCCATTATGTGTAAATGTCCATCAGTATTTCTATTTGTATTTTATTGCATTTTATCCCAAAAGTCTGTTTCATGTCATAGTTGCCCCACCATTTCCACACAATAAAATCTTAAGTGAGGAGGGTTACAGCAGGTAGGTTTTGATCCCACACATTTATTTTAATCAGTTAGGTTCTGAGAATATGCAATAAATTTTTTAAAAACAACTAAATTTTCTTTAGAAATGAACCAATGTATACATTTTTATCTTTCTCACAACACATGAAGTATTCCAACTATTTTATTTTTTAATATATTTGTATTGATTTCAGAGAGAAAGGGAAAGGGAGAGAGAGATAGAAACATCAATGGTAAGAGAGAATCGTGGATCAGTTGCCTCCCACAGGCCCCACACTAGAGATGAAGCCCACAACCCCAGGCCTGCGCCCTGACCAGGAATCAAACCGTGACCTCCTGGTTCATAGGTCGACACTCAATCACTGAGCCACGCCGGCCCGGCTAAAAACAATTAGAACTGATTGCACAGGGAAATGGCACATTTTCAGAAATGACCTTTGAGTCTAAGACCCTGATCGTGAGTCTCAGGATCTTCCTCATTGTCTGAGACACAGTTTCTAGTGAGGAAAGTGGAGTCACTTGGCTGGAGATGGGACCAGACGATCAGCTGACTGTTTGCAGGGACTTCTGAGGATGGTCCCATTCAGTGGCTGACTTTGGGATACTTGAGGCCCATCTGGCAGAACCCGGAGAAGTTCCCAGGAGCTGAGGCTTAGGACAGGCTTAGCGGGGCCTGTTCAGGGGAGGTATTTTAGAAGGGTTGGGACTCTGTTTTCAGACGGCTGCTGAAAATAATAAGCCTGTTTCCTGCACGTGCCCTGTCAGCAGCCGAGAGCAGGAGTGGGGACCGCGCTGCCCGTGTGTTACATGAGCAGGGAGACAGCATGTGGCCGCAGCAGCTTACCCCCAGCCAGGCCACCGTGCACGCAGCCCGCAGGCAGTGCCAGCGGCTTTTCAGATGAGGAAACCTCGGCGCACGTGCGTCCCTCCTTCCCAGTCAGCACAGGCCTGGCGCGTGGAAGACACTCCATGCTTTTCAAACCAGCGTGAGCAGGTGCGAGCCACTGGGTAGACGCCTGAGCGCGATCCGGGTCCACACACCTGAGTCCCGAGACCTGGTCTGAGCGGCCTCATCCTGGCCAGCCCGCCACCTGGAGCACGGCACACGCTCTGCACTTGGTTTTCCTCATCTGCACAATGAAGCATTAGGGCGAAGCCCTCAGGCCTTACGAGAAAGAGCCACTTGGCGCCGTTTCTCGGTCAGACCCACATTTTCACCTTCAGAATAGAGGATGGGCTTCTCCTCGGGGCTGACGGTCCTCCTGGCTCCACATGCTCCCGGAAGAGCCCAAACGGAGCAGAAACGGGCCGTGTCCTGACAGCCGCAGATGAAGGCCACGCCTGTCACGCCTGCGCCCGGCACAGTGGGGACTCAGCTCTGGCACTGGCCCACTGATCCCTGCCCACATGGATGCGTATCATTCCTTAGAACTCCATGAAGTGGAAACAGTCGCACTCCAGGTGGACTCCCTACAGCGGTCTGTCGCCCCAGTTTGCAACACATGGTGTGAGGAGCAGAGGCCGCCCCACTGAACGAGACCCCGCTCTGTCCTCCAGGAGCCCCCACAGGGCAGGCATGACCTCTAGGGACAGGCTCCGCAGCAGCTGCGGACACGCCCCGACACCAGGGGTGAGGCCTTCCCCAGGGACCTCAGGCCTCACGGCTGTCCCGCTCAGCCTGTCTGTGAGAGAGAGAACCACACATTCTCTGCCCACTGCCGGAGCCGTCCACACAGGAGCCCGGCTGGAGGAGGCGGCAGAGGCACAGGAGGCGGGCAGGCTGGCAGGGCCGGAGGAGGACTCATGGGAGAGGCAGGCGGACTGAGGTGAAGGCAGGGACTGTGCCTGGGAGGGCGATCAGGTGGTGACAGCAGTGACGGGTGTAGGGAGCTGAGGAACAGGGAGACAGTGGATTTGTTTTCTGGAACGGGAAGTGTGGTCTGACGGTCCTGAGGGCTGCGGGGGGAGGTCTGGAGGCTGGAGAAGGTCAGACGCGCAGCTGCTCTGGGTCTGTCCTCTGAGCCGTGCGCGTAGAGATGAGTGGAGTGGCCCAGACAGGAGGCTTAAAGCAAGAGGCACAGGAGCCCGAGGGGAAGATAGCAGAGGGCGAAAGGCAGGCAGAGCGGCGTCGGGCCGAGAGGACGGTGTTCTGCACAGGGGACACCTGTGAAAAGGTCCGGAGAAGGGCGTGAGGACTGCGGGGAAGAGCAGGAGAGACGTGGGCGTCTGTGTGGCCGCTTAGCAGGAGACGCAGGTGCAGGCCGTTAGAGGTCTGAGCCGCGGGCATGCGTGAGGCTGCTTGCATCTCCAAAAGAGACTGTATTGAGAGCTTTTAGCTTGGAAGGAAAATGGTGTGAATTGGAGAGAAGCAGTGTCCTGGGAAGTGGTGTGACGTGACAGCAGGAGGCCAGGAGAGGAGTGAGTGACGGCGGTGACCGGGCGGCAGAGCAGGACCCAGAGGCAGGGAGAGGGCAGGTGCTGCCGTCAGAGGCCCAGGGAGCCGGCCAAGTCCCGGGAAGACAGGTCCCCCGAGGGAGCAGCACAGGCCCCCCCACCGATCACTGCAGACTCGGCTGAGAACTGCAGGGGCAAACCCAGATTTAAGGAGCTGTCCAGAGTGAGGGGTGCGATGTGGCCTGAGTAATAAGGTCCCTGTGCGGCAGCACAGACGCTGTGCACGCTTCAGGGAGAGGGAGGCTGGAGGAAGGAGGTTTGTAGAAAGTAGTCATGGAACTCCTTGGGGCAGACTCTGTTCTTAGGGGGCCTTCCACGCCCACCTCCGTGAGGCAGACCTCACTCCAAGGGATGCTCCCACAGTTCCTGCCGTGTGTTCTCCGGGAGGGGGTAGCCTAGTGTGCTGGGCCAGCAACATGGGTCACTTCTCTTGACTGCCCACCCTCACTTCTCACCCCATCTGCCTTCCCCACCGCCCAGAGCAGTGGCCTGTCCACTGAGGAGCAAGGCTGTGCACACAGCCTGACCGTGGCCATGGCGAGTAGCTGAGCATGCCCCTGACCGCGGGTCACTCCCGGGCCCCATAGTGGGCGACCGAGTCCCCTCGCTGGCCTCCCAGCCCAGCAGCACAGCACTGACTATCCCAGCTCACTCATTTGAAGAAGAATGAAGTGTTCAATTCCTAGGTGGGAAGCCACCATTTAATTCATTTCATTAAAAATAAGACTTGGGGTTCCTGTCACCGTGGCCGCCCTGCCCTCATGACACTGTTTCTGAGGCAGAGGCGTGTGTTGGAACCGTCTGGTCTGCGTGCTGCTGCCTGGCGATCAGGTGCCCAGTGCTTACGTGTGGGGGGCAGATGGGCTGCGCTGGGGACATCCTCACAGCCCGACCTCCAGCCCCCACACAGCGCACCCCGCTCTGCATGCCCCTCAGATGAGCCTTCTCCTCCTTCCCACGTGTTCCCCTGACCATGCCCATCACGAATGTCTGCCGGCCGTCAGTCGTACACAAGCCACTTTGTTAGAATGCGTCCTCTTGTCCCTGGACCGTTGCTGTGTTTTAATGCCACGTGTTTTCTCTGCTCTCCCTGTCAAGTTCTTGCCATGCATGAGAATGTTCTCAAGTGTCCTACTCCGGGCTGCACAGGGCGCGGGCATGTAAATAGCAACAGGAACTCTCACCGAAGGTAAGCACAGCCCCTGCGCCCTGCCTGCAGGGGATCCCCGGGAGCCCCGCCTCTTCCCGCCCTGATGCACCCTCATCCAGAGGATGGAGACTTGGTCCCATCGCACTCGGTGCGTGATGCTCAGACCCCCGGTCACAGATGGGAGGTTTCAATGGTCGCACCCACCTCGGGATGGGGCAGCAGTCCCCCGGGAGGCACCGTCCTCGCTGTGACCTCTGAGGGAACCATGACCATGTGCAACTGGAAGAAACAGTACAGGCTCCCTGTGCCCGTCAGGAGGGACTGGTCCACCCCTCAGACAGGGCGGGACTTGGAATCCAGGAAGGAGCTGGGCTGCCCGGCTCTGCTGGACCCTGCCCGGGGGTGGCATCAGCAGCCTTCCTGGCCCACTGCTGTTTTCCCGCTCACAGCCATGCTTTGCTCTGAGTGAAGTCCAGTTCTCCTTCCTCCTTTGTTCTCACCCCCACTGAGCGGCAGCCCTTCCATCAGGTGCTCCTTGGCCGTAGGCAGAGCGGTTCTGTCCCAGGGTGCCCTGCAGCCTGGTCCCGCACCACACGCCTAACACACCTGTAAGCCTAAATGCTGGGAGCTTCCCTCTAATGCTGGCTTTTCCCACTGGCCAGTGTGGTCACTTGTGTTAAATTTATAATAAATCAGATCACAGCCCCGCCACCCCCAGCCCTTGAAGTGTGCCCTGGGCATGTGCTGCAAAGGAGGCAGCAGTGGGAGTAAGGGTCGTGCTGAGCGTGACTCGAAGCTGCATTTACAGACCAGCTCCTCCGTCAGATCTCACACAGCCCCACGTGCAGGGAGGGAGGCCCACGGTGCCTGTGGTTCGTGGACTGTGCAGTCACACGGGCGGCAGACACCATGGTCTCGGGAAGGAACTGAGCACCCAGCTCCAGAGCCTCTGCCAGCAAGCGGGCCTCGGACTGTCCTGCTGTCCCCCCGTCCCTCTTCAGGGGCACCAGCCACGCCCTGTGGTCAGCAGTGCTTGGGGGTCGGCCCAGACCTCCGTCTCTGGTGCCAGCCAGAGAGCTGCCCTGCCTGGGCCACTAGACGGCCTGCCCCGCGGCCAGTCCCTCCTCCAGACCCAGGGACCGTCCCCGAAGGGAGCCTGGGTCTGACCGACTGGCTTACACTCTCTGGAATGTCTTGGGCCTGGCTGGCTGGCGTGAGAAAGCTTCAGGTGCACTTCACACGGGGCACGCCAGCAGGCAGCACTGTCTGCTGGGGGAGGAAATACCCACTCTCGCGTTCCCACCATCAGGAGAGCAGACAGGTTGGGAAATCACCCCCGCTCCCGCGAGGATGTGGGTTGCTGATCAGGGAGGGGGCGGTGGCTCAGTCGGGGGTGGTGTGTGGAGCCCTCGGGGAGACAGCTGACCCCTTTCTGTGCTTGCAGCCTCTCTGGATGCCCTATTGCTGCAGCGGAGAAGCTGGCAAAGGCCCAGGAAAAGCACCAGAGCTGCGACGTGTCCAAGTCCAGCCCGGCCTCCGACCGGGTGCTCAGGTACAGCTCCGACCAGAGGCCCTCAGACTTTTTAAACGGGGCCAGTTCCCTGTCCCTCAGACACTCCACACATGCGCACTGCGGGCCGGGACGCGTCGGCTGCTAAGCAGGACAGGCAGTGGCGGCAAGAACACCCGGCGGCCGGATGCATGTTTTCGGCGGCCGCATGTGGCCCGCGGGCCGCAGTTTGAGGGCCCCTGGCAGAGTGTGCGGTGCCACGGGTCTGTGCAGGCAGCCCTCCCACCAGCTCGGGCTGTGTAGGAGGCGATGCCAGGCTCTGGCAGGCGGGAAGCTAAGGAGCGCTGTGCTGGGAGCGAGACCCAGCCTCCCCACACACACGGGCCTGGGGGGCAGGAGGTGACGCCGCTCCTGGGCTTCGGGAGGAGCTGGATTCTGGTTTCCTCCCGTCCCTCCTGGCTGAGGCTGGTGGGGCCTTCCCAGCTGATGCTGCCCAAGAGGATGGTCCTACGAGGCTGAGAGGCCAGGCACCACCTGCAGGTGGCGGTAGTGCTTCCTTCCAGCACATCAGTGATGGAGCCCCCTGGCCAGCGTGGAGGCGGCCTGCCTGGGAGCCCGGAGCTGCCCTCCCCTGTCCTCAGACACCCAGTGCAGAGAGGGTGGGCTGACCTGCCCCAAACCTCGTTAGAGGATAAACCAGGAAAGTCCTCAGGCACCCCCAGGCTTAGCCCGCCGTGTATCAAGTTTAGAAAAGAGGGGAGAGGGAGAAACCCACACTCCGCTCACCCTACATCAGCTCGAATGTCTGCCCGTGAGCACCACGCCCACAGCTGCAGGTCCTGCTGCTTAATCCCCAGCTCGCCCGAGGCCGGAGTCAGTGTGTCCACACGGCCGGAGCCGGGCCCTGCCTTGGAGCCAGGGAGGGTGACCGCCTCACTGTGAGAGAAAGACAGCCTCACATTCTCACACACACATGCACTCGCGCACACACATACTTGCACCCACACACACTCATATACACTCACACACACACACTCGCGCGCACACTTCCACACACACACACACTCGCACACACTCACACAACTCACACACATTCCCAGTCTTGCCTTTGTTACCTTGTCCTCTGGGACAGATCATGTGGACGCAGTCACCAGGCAGAGGACACGTCACCTTTGTGGTCTGTTGAGTATGGTTCCCAGTTCAGAGAGGATCTGCCATGGCCGATCCTCTCAACTCAATAGAAAAGTTAAATCCTTTTAGAAAGTAGGAAATATTTAAATAGACAAAACTAAGAAAAACCATCTGTGGTCCTTGTTATGCCCAGATTTCAAGATTCCCAAGAAACCACGCCAGGGAGCCAGTCCGATGCAAAAGCAGAGGGTCTCTATACAAGCTCGCTTGGTCCCCGCCCCCCCCCCCCCCCGCCTCCATTACTGGGTGCAAGAGAGAGCCCCGAGTCCCAAGAGAACAAAGAATTTATAGGGCTTGGGGTCGGGGGGTGGGGCAGGGTGCAGCTAGAGTCTGGTTACACAAAGACGGGGTGGGGGGGCGGGGGGGGGGGGACAGCATACTTTTGGCCTTGGGCTAGTTTCCCCCGCTTTCCCATTGGCCGAGATAAGGGCAGGCTGAGTAACTGATACACCCTGCGGCTTTTTCTTGGAAAGAGGGGTTAAGGACACAGCCATCAGTCCTGCTCTGTCCTTTCAAGGGCCTGCAGCCAGGCCTCGTCTCCGGCTCCGCCCCTCTGCCCCATGGGCACTGCCAGGCGAGGCTGGTCCCTCCCCATCACCCGTGTCCTCCCACAGCGTCCACACACAGAGAGGCTCGCTCAGAGGGTGCGGACGGAGCCAGGAAGGAAGGAAAAGCATTTAAACCTACAATCATTTAAATAATTATGGTTTTTCTAAACCTTTAAATAGATTTCCAGCAGGAATTTAAGACTTGAGTAAGTACATCCAGTCCTGTCCACATTTCTTCTCTCCTCTGCTGGGCCCATCCACCTCCATTTTCTCACCCAGGATTGCCTCGCACTGAGGCCTCTGCCCAGGCTCCTCCGCTGAGCGGCCCAGCCCCGCGGCCTTGCTCACTAGCAGATGGGCAGACTCCCACCTGCCCAGGCAGCAGTCTCCTGCGCTTCCCCAAGACGCGCCTCACCTTCCGAGGGCTTTTCTTTCTGGGACTGTTTGTGCTCACGCCCTGATCATACCCTTAGTGCAGCGGTTCTCAACCTGTGGGTTGCGACCCCTTTGGCGGTCGAACGACCCTTTCACAGGGGTCGCCTAAATACATCCTGCATATCAGATATTTACATTACGATTCATAACAATTGCAACATTACAGTTATGAAGCAGCAACGAAAATAATTTTATGGTTGGGGGTCACCACAACATGAGGAACTGTGTTAAAGGGTGGCGGCATTCGGAAGGTTGAGAACCACTGCCTTAGTGGTTTACCCGTTCTGTAAAGCTGGCTCCAGCTTCTCCGCGGAGATGGAATCTCACAGCCAGAAGAGGCCTCCCTTCCCCAGAATCCCTGCAGCACTGGCTCTTAAAATAGTATCACACACACACACAATAGTGCAGCCAGGGATCTTTGAGGCAAAGTTGGGGGTTTTAGTCATTTATGCAGCCACCCTCCATACTACCTGGCAAATGCCTCAAATAATGGGCATTCAGCTAATCGCTTCCTTGTTTTATTGATTGACAAGTAAATAAGCTAAGTTCATGAAATCAAAGTAAGTGCCTTGGTGATTTGGTAAATAAAGGTGTTAACATGAGGAGAAGTTGAGCGAAGGGAACAACTTTTTTGTACGTCTTAATTTCCAAAAAGAGCTTAAACATTCCACTTATGAGATAGAGAACTAGCTGGACACACACACACAACAAAATGGAATCTTAAATAATTAATAATAATAGAAGGTTCCTCCACTGAAATAATTCACTCTAAAATCTAGGAAAATGAATGGCTCCTAGGTAAAAATATTGAAACTGTAGGCTAATATTTGTCAGAATATATTGCTGCATGTTCCATTTTATTGTCCAGACGTACACATTTGTATCTAGCTTCACTCGGCCTGTGGCCCTATGAGTACTTCTTTAATTTCCTCTTCTTTCCAAGGGAAAATGCCTCCTTAGCTCCCTGCATTTGAGTGTGACTCTCGCTCTTTGCAGAAGAAAACACGTGGACTTGCGGTTCTTCTGTCCTCACACCTGTCTCCTCACCAAGCCCACCACGACAGGAAAAGAGAAGGGAAACGGGAAAGTTAGTTCCGTTTTCGTCGTCTTGTTGCCAGAGTTGACAGTCGGGCGGCTAGCGTATGTGGTGCTGTGTAATGACAGCACCGCAGCTTTTTCTCAGGAAAGCAAGGCATGGTTTCCGTGCCAGGTTCCAGGCCCAAGTGCCACTGAGAGCTAGATGCTCTGGCGTCGGCGTGAGCCCGTCCCCCCGCGGCCCCGAAAAAGCCAGCTGTCGATTGTTTCTTGTTTGCTTACAGGCCAATGTGCTTTGTAAAGCAGCTCGAGATCCCTCACTACGGCTACAGGAACAACGTCCCCACGACCACGCCGCGCTCCAACCTGGCCAAAGAGCTGGAGAAATACTCCAAGACGTCGTTTGAGTACAACAGTTACGACAGCCACACGTACGGCAAGCGGGCCATAGCTCCCAAGGTGCAAACCAGGGACATATCCCCCAAAGGATATGATGGTAGGAGGTGCACACTCTTATACATGAGAGTCACGCTTGCCTTGATGATGTTGTGTTGTGTATATCCATTTCCTACCAGCGGGTCGCGCATGTGGTCACTTGCTGGGCACCAGGAACAGCACGCCACCCTGGGCCTCTTCCTCAGAACCAGAGGCCCATGGTGGGGGCAGGGCTACGGGTGTGGACAGGGCCTCGGCTCCTCTGGCCTGCCGTCACTAAGACCATGTCCTCACCTTCCTAAACGTCCTTTAATTGGTGGCCCAGCTCAGATACCTGGACAGCCGGCAGCAGCGGCCCCCAATCCGTGGCTGTGTGGGGAGGTCTGCACCCCCACCCGCCCCGTGTTCCGACCCTGGGTGCAGAGTCGTCCGAGTGACGTAGAAGTCTGACACTCGGGCGGCTCCCACCCCGGCCAAACCAGAAGCTCAGGTGTTCCCTGCGTGGTGGGATTTTAAAGTCACCACGATTGCTCTGTGCAGCTGAGGGTGGACAGCCTCCGAGGGGGTCCCAGCCCCTCCAGCAGGCTTGGACCTGCTCTCTTCTGCCCTGGGAGCGGGCCTGGGAGAGCCACCTGGTGGGGCCCGGCTGGGTCACGGCCGCACTCTGCCATCGCATCAGGAAAAGCCCGGCTCCTGTCCACCGTGGGCTCGGCCACCGCCAGGGTGTGCCTGGGTCACGTTTATCGTGGTTAGTGGTTGAACAATAGACGGGAAGACCACGCACATATCTTGGCGTTTACTTATCTAACCACAATTCTACTTTAAATTCCAGGATATATGACTTAGTTGGCAAATTTTACTAACTGGCATGTGGGCTGCGTAGCTTGTGGTGACTTAGAAGTCTCTCCTGGCGCTTTCTAGTGAGGCAGGAGACGGGCACGCTCCTCTCTGAGAGACGGAATTCAAATCACAGCACACAGACCGTTTCAGCTGAGTGGTGGGGGTTCTGAAACCGTCTCATAATTCAATATGAGTAGCTACACCTTTTTCAAAGTTATGTTAGTCATTCTTTGCCTTAATAACAATTAATTTGTATAGTGAATAGAGTATTTCTCTGATGCATCAAATATTATCTTTGCATGTATCAATTCTTAATATATAGGAATTAATATAAATGGGGAACAGAAAGTGGTTTACAGTATAATAGAAAATAAGTATTTTTGTTTATTTTGTAATAATTTTCCAATTTCAGTTTTTATTATTTCATTCATTTGATTGCAAATGAAGGATCAAAAGAAATTGAATTCACATAATTAAGGATTCTATTGATATCATTTCCAATTTTGAGAGATCTGATGAGTGCTTTGACTTGTTCATTTTCACCCGCCTCTTTGTCGCTGCTGTTCTCCATGGCCTGAGTCCTTGCCCCCACTGTCCTGGCTGGGCTGGGCGAGAGCGTGGCCGGTAGAGTGCGTCTGGGGTTGCAGTGCCTTCGGTGGGTTAGGAGGCAAACCTGCCTGTCTGTTCTCAGCTCTTCCCTGAGGACTGTGTGCTGTTGGGCACGTTAGTACTGTGTGTCCATTCCTGGAGTCGAGTGGAGGTACCGTTCTGCCTTGCTGGGAAGACCAGGGACAGCTCTAAAGGGCACAAGCATGTTAGTCCCGACATTCTCACCTGCCCAGAAAGGTGCCTGGTGTCAGGACCGAGGCAGAGCCATGCTGTTCAGCCAACCAACAAGAAAACAAGAGCAGAATAAAACTCCACTCTTAGGTCCTCAGTGACTAAGAGAAGAGGAGAGACACCCTTTTAGCAAACATTTACTGAGAAGAGTCAGTGACCCCGTTTCTCTTCCACTAGAGGCGCCTGACAGACTTTGAACGCATGGAGGACAATGCCCGCTAAGGGTGAGGGCTGGGCAGGGCCCAGTGGGTGAGCTGAGAGGAGCCCTCCTGCTCCCGGGCATCGGGCAGTAGGCACCACAGGCGACTGAGGTCTGCGCTCACCTCCAGGAGCGCCCCCGGGGCTCCGTCACGGCTCCTGAGCAGGAGGGAAACGAGCCTGCGGTGGGTGGGCCAGTGTCAGGGCAGGAGCAGAGACGCAGGAGCCTAAACGCAGGGCCTTCCCCGTCTGCTCATCACCCTGAGGTCCCACCTGCTGTGACCAAACACTCAGCACTTGGGCGCAGCCTCCGTGTTCTTCCAGGACCAGGCACGTCCTGACTGCTCTCTGTCTCTGTCCATCTGCCTGTCCACCCATCAACCCGTCCTCTCCCTGGTGGGCACATCTCAGGAGGCACATGCTTGTTTTCCTAGACACCAAGATGCAGCACACTCGCCTGCTCCCACACACACTGCACAGGATGCAGCACACTCACCTGCTTCCACACACACTGCACAGGATGCAGCACACTCACCTGCTCCACACACACTGCACAGGATGCAGCACACTCACCTGCTCCACACACACTGCACAGGATGCAGCACACTCACCTGCTCCCACACACACTGCACAGGATGCAGCACACTCGCCTGCTCCCACACACACTGCACAGGATGCAGCACACTCACCTGCTCCACACACACTGCACAGGATGCAGCACACTCACCTGCTCCCACACACACTGCACATGATGCAGCACACTCGCCTGCTCCACACACACTGCACAGGATGCAGCACACTCACCTGCTCCACACACACTGCACAGGATGCAGCACACTCACCTGCTCCACACACACTGCACAGGATGCAGCACACTCACCTGCTCCACACACACTGCACAGGATGCAGCACACTCACCTGCTCCCACACACACTGCACATGATGCAGCACACTCACCTGCTCCCACACACACTGCACAGGATGCAGCACACTCACCTGCTCCCACACACAGTGTACAGGATGCAGCACACTCACCTGCTCCCACACACACTGCACAGGATGCAGCACACTCACCTGCTCCACACATACTGCACAGAAGCAGGATGTAGCACACTCACCTGCTCCACACACACTGCACACAGCAGGTGGCCATTCCAGGGCCCTGAGGCTCTCACCAGCAGAGCAGGCAACAGGAGGGTCCTGGTGGAAGGTGTTTGGTTTGTTTCCATTTCATTTATTTTTCAATATAAATGTCTTACGGTCGCTCTTTTTCCTGCAAGAGCGCTGACTGCCTGAGGAGTTCCTGCTCCGTGGGGTGTGGCCTGCACACAGCTGTGTCACATGCAGGCGTGGCCCTGCAGTCACAGCGGTATAGCTCTGTCATTCCGTGTCCGCTGGCACCTAGAACATGAACACATTCTATCTGCTGACCAATTGAAAGGGATTTAATTGAACATCACTTTGTTTGCCAAAAGAAAAGCCCAGTGCTTTTTATGGTGAATCAGGTACTCCCATCTGACAAGGTAGGGGCTCCTGGGTGGGGCAGAGGGGCCTGAGCACACCTGGGAGAGGCACCCGCCACCCCACGCCCTGTGGCTCTGCGGTGCCCCCTGGTGTCAGCACAGTGTGGTCCCAGGTCACTGTCACTAGGTTTTGTCAAAGTTTAACAGATAATTATTAGGACGAGGCCTTCATCACCTGAAAGATTTGAAGGATAGAGACTCTTATTTCATTGCAGCGAAACAAAAGAAAAAGTCGATGGCATTTAGTCAAGGGATACGCCTGGCCGCCCAGCTGCTTCTCCCCCCCTCCCCCGCCCCTCCCCCCCCCACCACAGGGTGTGCAGGCCAAGTTGGTCCAGGCCCCTCCCGGCGGAGCCCAGAGGAGCCCCGGTCTAAGCATTCAGTGACGGGGATGCCCTTTACCAAGGGGCTGCGGTGTTTGCGGTGTTTGCCCAGACGCGTGTTGTCCTGCTACTTCTAGAACTTGAATAGCACTCATTCCTGAACAAACGTGCCCTGTTTCTTCTTTATGTGGAGCACATTTTTCCCTGAGCCAGTGGCTAGCCCTCGTCGGGAAGAAAAAAAAACACACCTTAATAGTATTATTTTATTCCTCCCAGAATTTTTCTAACAAATGCGGGGATGACGTAAAACCACAAACTTTCATTCCTGAGAGAGAATCTTGGGCTGCGAGTTGGCTTTGCCACCTCGACGTGCTCTGGGCAGGTCCCGGGCGGCCTCCTGGGACTGTCTCTGGGTCCCTCTGGGCCCAGCCCCGAGCCCTGCTGCCCCGTGGCCTGTGCTGCTGAGATAAGGCACCTTCGCAGGGGACAGGAGGAAGGCCCAGGGCCTGGCCCCGAGGTCGTGAGCACTGGCTCTCGGCGGGGGCGCGGGCAGGATAGAGGTCACTCGCCCGCCGCTGCGCGTGCCTGGTGGGCCCAATGGGGGGAGCCTGGCCCTGGAGGTCAGCTGCGTGTGCAGCGTCTGTGGCTCTGTCGGGCTGGGATGCGCAGCAGTCGGGTGGCCGCCCGCCTCGCCCGTGGCCAGGCGGGAACAGTGAGCAGCGTCTGCGAGGTCAGGACGGCGCGGGCTTCGGTGCGAAGCCGAGAGTTACGGAAGCTCAGTTCTTTCTCCATTTGTGTCTGAATGAGGCGCTTGGGGCAGCTCCATGGCGTTGCCCGTGATGTCCGAGCTTGTGGGCTGTGTGGGTTATTGTCACTCCGTGCAGTTGTGTCTGCTTCTTCCCGCCGGGGAAGCTCTGAGCAGGGCTTCCTTGGGCCTTTAGCACTGACCCACCAGTGACTGTTTGGGGACCACCGTGAGAGCAGGTCAGGCTGCTGTCACAGGGAGGCAGGTGGGACCAGCCGCCGCAGCACAGCTGGCCCCCCGCACCCCATCACTGCGTCCCACTGGACCTCGCACCCACGCAGGGCCCCTGAGCTCACCGGGGAAGAAGGTGTGAGACAGGGTGGCTCTCTGGGGGGGGGGGCTTAGGACACTGCGCGGGGTCTGCCAGCACCTCCAGGTTCACCTCCCAGGAGTCTCATGGCCAGGCTCGGGGAGAGGCCTGGCCCTGGGCGTTAATGCCCCTGCAGTGGTAGTGGGCAGTGCTCGTAAACCTCCAGCAGATGCCTCCGCCCCTGTGCTAGCGGACGTTGGGCACTCAGAGGATGCTGTGCCCAGGAGCCTGTCGGGCTGGCGATGAGCTGGCTGCTCAGAAAGATAACCTGTAGCGAGGCTCCGGGCAGGAGGCGCGGCCATTCCTGTAGGAGGGCGTGTCTGCGCGTCCCCGAGCAGTCATGGTCGCTCTGCTGGTGCATTTACCTGGGGCTCACCCAGTCCAAGGGCGCGCCCCCCTCGGCCATCACCTTCCCCAATGTGGCCCTTTGTGAGAATCACAGGGTGACTCTTCTTGAGGAAGAGGATGTTCAGCTACATTGTCTGGTCTGCACACCCAGCCTGCACGCCACTCCCAAAGCACAGCCCTCACAGGTGGCCCGGTGCAGGACAGTGAGCCCCATGGGCCACCGCAGACCCTCCCGGTGGGAGCGGCCAGTCTCCAAAGGGCTGAGCAGCCAGGTCCCCTCACCCAGTGAGCTGAGCAGCCTGGGTCCCCCATCCAGTGAGCTGAGCAGCCTGGGTCCCCCCCATCCAGTGAGCTGAGCAGCTGGGTCCCCTCACCCACTGAGCTGAGCAGCCTGGGTCCCCTCACCCACTGAGCTGAGCAGCCTGGGTCCCCCAATCCAGTGAGCTGAGCAGCCTGAGTCCCCTCACCCACTGAGCTGAGCAGCCTGGGTCCCCTCACCCACTGAGCTGAGCAGCCTGGGTCCCCCCATCCAGTGAGCTGAGCAGCCTGGGTCCCCTCACCCACTGAGCTGAGCATCCTGGGTCCCCCCCATCCAGTGAGCTGAGCAGCTTGGGTCCCCTCACCCACTGAGCTGAGCATCCTGGGTCCCCCCCATCCAGTGAGCTGAGCAGCTTGGGTCCCCTCACCCACTGAGCTGAGCATCCTGGGTCCCCCCCATCCAGTGAGCTGAGCAGCTTGGGTCCCCTCACCCACTGAGCTGAGCATCCTGGGTCCCCCCCATCCAGTGAGCTGAGCATCCTGGGTCCCCTCACCCACTGAGCTGAGCATCCTGGGTCCCCTCACCCACTGAGCTGAGCAGCCTGGGTCCCCTCACCCACTGAGCTGAGCAGCCTGGGTCCCCTCACCCACTGAGCTGAGCAGCCTGGGTCCCCCCATCCAGTGAGCTGAGCAGCCTGGGTCCCCCCCATCCACTGAGCTGAGCATCCTGGGTCCCCCCATCCAGTGAGCTGAGCAGCTTGGGTCCCCTCATCCACTGAGCTGAGCATCCTGGGTCCCCCCCATCCAGTGAGCTGAGCAGCCTGAGTCCCCTCACCCACTGAGCTGAGCATCCTGGGTCCCCCCCATCCAGTGAGCTGAGCAGCCTGGGTCCCCCCATCCAGTGAGCTGAGCATCCTGGGTCCCCCCCATCCAGTGAGCTGAGCATCCTGGGTCCCCCCCATCCAGTGAGCTGAGCATCCTGGGTCCCCCCCATCCAGTGAGCTGAGCATCCTGGGTCCCCCCATCCAGTGAGCTGAGCATCCTGGGTCCCCCCATCCAGTGAGCTGAGCATCCTGGGTCCCCCCCATCCAGTGAGCTGAGCATCCTGGGTCCCCCCCATCCAGTGAGCTGAGCAGCCTGGGTCCCCCCATCCAGTGAGCTGAGCATCCTGGGTCCCCCCCATCCAGTGAGCTGAGCATCCTGGGTCCCCCCCATCCACTGAGCTGAGCAGCCTGGGTCCCCCCATCCAGTGAGCTGAGCAGCCTGGGTCCCCCCATCCAGTGAGCTGAGCAGCCTGGGACCCCCCATCCAGTGAGCTGAGCAGCCTGGGTCCCCTCACCCACTGAGCTGAGCAGCTGGGTCCCCCCACCCACTGAGCTGAGCAGCTGGGTCCCCCCCACCCACTGAGCTGAGCAGCTGGGTCCCCCCACCCACTGAGCTGAGCAGCTGGGTCCCCCCACCCACTGAGCTGAGCAGCTGGGTCCCCCCACCCACTGAGCTGAGCAGCTGGGTCCCCCCATCCAGTGAGCTGAGCAGCTGGGTCCCCCCATCCAGTGAGCTGAGCAGCTGGGTCCCCTCACCCAGTGACGGATGAGCAGTCCTGCCAGGGAGGCTGCCTCCTGGGCCTCAACCAGGAGGGGAGACACCCTGGTGACTGAGTCCCAGCAGGTGTGAGCCCGTGAGGCACATGCCAGTGCCACTCATGGGAGGGACTGGGCACTATGTCCCCACTGTCCCAGCTGAGCTCAGTCGGTGGCACGTGGTATCCCAGGAGGCAGGCCAGGTGGCTCGCTCCTCATGAGTCAGCCCTTGGCCCCACGCCTCCATGTGATGTGTGTCTACGCGCAGGGCTGGGGTGCGGGTGGAGGGCGCATGACCTGGCGGGTACCCGAGTCACCCTGCCCGTGTCTCCCCAGCGAAGCGGTACTGCAAGGACGCCAGCCCCAGCAGCAGCACCGCCAGCAGCTACGCGCCCAGCAGCAGCAGCAACTTGAGCTGTGGCGGCGGCAGCAGCGCCAGCAGCACCTGCAGCAAGAGCAGCTTCGACTACACACATGACATGGAGGCAGCCCACATGGCAGCCACTGCCATCCTCAACCTGTCCACACGCTGCCGCGAGATGCCGCAGAACCTGTCCACCAAGCCGCAGGACCTGTGTGCCACACGGGTACGCACACCTGCCGGGCAGGCAAGCGGGCCCCGTCCACCCCCGAGGTCACACAGGCCCTTCAGGACACAGGGCAGAAGTTGAGACGCCGTCTCACTGAGCCTCCCTTCTGGGTGACCGCCCAGCTCTGTGGGAGCAGCTTCCCGGCACATGGTCAGGAAGGGGCCAGGTGTCTGCGATTGCTGCACTCACTGCCTGTGTCCCCTGTAAGATCCAGGCTCATTTCTGTAAACAGAGGGACCAGGAATCTGAAGACCCAACATGCCTTGAACTTTCAAATACAAGGGCAGCTGTCAAATAAAAGGCAGGCCTGTCCCCTTGCTGTGCTTCCAGCAAGTCACCCAGAACTAGGGAACAAGGAAAGTGCAAATCCGATGTCCACAGGGGCCAGTCTGGCAGGTACAGCAGCTTGCATCAGCTCAGAGACCAGTCTTTGTGGTGGTTTATCATTTTGATTTTCTGGTCCATGACTCATTGCCTGTGCCCAGGTCAGGAGAGTGGGTTAGATGCAGCCAGGGAGCCGCCTGGCGAGCCCACGAGGGGTGCTCTCAGAGGACCTGTGCACAGGCGGGGGTGGTGCTGCCTCCTCTCTAGGAGCAGAGGTGTCGGAGCCTTGCCTGGAGCTGCTCGCGTGCACATGGCCTCACACCTGCCAGCAGTTCTGAGTGAGGGGAGTCTGTGTGAAGGGGGAGAGGCCAGCAGTGTCATGTTCTATAAATGCGGTTTTATTCGTGTTTTATTCCTCGACTTTGGGAAAGAACCAGGGCACATGGTGTCCGTGGTGGCCAGGGCTGCCCAATGGGAGGCGGCCCCGGAGGAAGTTCTGCAATAAAAAAAGAAAAGACTGTCCCCTCCCATCTTTGTACTGCATTACAATTAAACTACGACTAAGAGAATTGAAGGCAGCATCATGAAGGCCAAGGCAGTATGACAAAGGGCTGAGGCAGAATAACGCTCCAATTTGTCAGGGAACAGCCCAGGGTGGGCCTTATCCAGGCACCTCCCTCTGCCGTGACGCCAGGCGGCAGCAGCAGCTCAGCTCTGGCCGCTGTGTCCCTCTAGCTCTCGCGTGGCCATTCCTCCCCTCTCCTGATTCCCTCCCTCTCTCCTTCACGCGCCCTTCCTTCTCCCCTCTGGAGGGCTGAGCTCTGAAGGATTCCTGATCTGTTTCAAAGCATCTTTTGAAAAGGGAGCTCACCTGGCCCTCTTTGTTAGCCAGTTGACTGCATTGCAGGTTTGCTGGACGCAGAGCAGCCAGGCCCAGTCACGGCCGCGGGCGCTCTGAGCGGCGTGGAAGCCTCTGCCTCCTGGGCCTTGGGTTAGAAAGTGAATCCCCACCTTCCCTCCAGCCCCCCACTCGTGTTTTCTCCTGCTCCGAGGCTTGGACTGTTCAGCAGCAGTGACACCAAAGGAGAATGTTTAAGGATATGTCCACTTTAAGTTTATGTAGTTTCACGATAACTATGTATTCTATACACATTATCATTCTGATCGCTTAATAGGTATTTGAAGTGGAATGGAATGGAAATTGGGCATGTGTTTGATTTTTCCAGAAGCAGAGATGTACTGGGAGAAAGGAAGATGTAGGTAGATAATAGGTGTGATCAATAGATGACAGACAAGGGTAGGTAGATAAGTGATAGACAAATAGACGATGGATAGGTACATAGATGGGGGATGGATGGGTGGATGGATAGATGGGTAGATGAGCGATGGGTCAGAAGACAGGACACAGGCGTGCAGCCTGGGAGCCGGGCAGCGGGAAAGGGTGGAGAACCCACTTCCGCTTCCTCGCCTGGGGCTTCTGTACGTCGGATGGTGAGCAGTTTCTCTTGTGCTCTGTGCTGGCTGGAGGCGGGCTGCCATCGGGGATGGAACGCATGGTTACCTGTCTTTCTGCCGACAGAACCCTGACATGGAGGTGGACGAGAACGGCACGCTGGACCTGAGCATGAACAAGCAGAGGCCGAGGGAGGGCTGCTGCCCGATCCTGACCCCGCTGGAGCCCATGTCCCCGCAGCAGCAGGCCGTGATGAGCAGCCGGTGCTTCCCGCTGGGCGAGGGGGACTGCTGGGACCTGCCCGTGGACTATACCAAGATGAAGCCCCGAAGGGTAGACGAGGACGACTCCAAGGAGATCACTGTAGGTCCCCCCCCTGCCCCCCACACCGAGCCACTGCCTCGGTCCCAGCTGGTGCCCTGGGAAGGCTGTCTCCCTCCTGTGCCCTGTGCCCTGTGCCCTGTAGCTAGTGAGGCTGGCACAGGGCTGTTGGCTCAGGAAGGACTTGGACCAGCATTTGGTGGAACAAACCGCCGGCTTCTCTGGAGGATGGGCTTTGCCTTCTAAACAGTGTGTTTTCTTACAAACAGTTTCTCTGAGAAAATGTGTCTGCAGCAGCCGGCCCCTCTCGGGGACCCGCTGTCTCACGCAGAGGCGCCTCCGCGCAGCTCTGGAGCCAAGGGGGTCTGCTCTCCGAGGACCTGGAGCGCAGAGCAGGCCCAGCCCTGAGGGCCATGTGGCTCCGTCGTCACCTGAGCCTTTATCCACATTTTACCAAAACACCTCTGGCAAGAACCTGTTTTTAAAGTCGTTATAATGTTCAAATTCAGCTTATTAAATAGTTATAATATTCTTTAGACTGAAGAAAGAAATGAAAAACTTGCTTTTTACTGGCCTGACCTTTCTCTCTAGTGTTTTAATCCGAAAAGTCATAACATTTTTCTCTATTCACTGAAAAATGAACATTTATTTTAATGCAGTGGGAAGACCACATGAAAGCAATAGCATCTTCTAGAACAGCGGTTCTCAACCTGTGGGTCACGACCCCTTTGGCGGTCGAATGACCCTTTCACAGGGGTCGCCTAAGACCATCCTGCATATCAGATATTTACATGACGATTCGTAACAGTAGCAACATTAGAGTTATGAAGGAGCCACGAAAATAATGTTATGGTTGGGTCACAACATGAGGAACTGTATTTAAAGGTCCGGAAGGTTGAGAACCACTGTTCTAGAAACACAGAGGTGCAGAGAAAGGAAACACGGGCCATTTATAGGGATTGAGGGAAAGGCATCTTTCTGCAAGGCCCTTCCACCTCAAAGCCTATTGTTCTTATTCTTCAGAATGACTGAGAGCTAAATCCCAGAGCTTCCCTCCGCCTCCGTGTTCAGTCATTAGGGCCACAGAGGAGGCAGTGGGAGCTCCGAACTTACTGTCATTAATATGAAGCCCCCATAAGTGGACAGGAGCCCCGCCAGAAGCGAAAACACCTCCTGTTCAGGAGAACGTCTGCTCAACAGTGCCAGCTATAGGAGTAGCTAGGTCATGACACTTGGACCCACTTTGTATAAAAAAGAAAACGCTGAGAAGGATTTAAAGCTGCATCAGGGCTGAGGGCCCAGGGAGAGTGAGGAGCCAGTGGTTGCTCTGATATCTTAGGTGCAGCCCTGAAGCGTGCAGGCAGCATGGGGATGGAGCGGCCTGTGGAGCAGGCACCCCGCTCCCTTGTGTAGGTGGGACGCTGGGTGAGGCGTCCCTGTGGCCAGACCACTTCTGTCCCTCTTGTGTGTAAGGCCCTGCCAGTGGCAAGCTCCCAGAGTCCCAGTGGTCTAGAGCAGATGAGATATTAAGGGCCAGCCCCAAAGGGAGACTGAACAAATTTCAGTCTGCATTTTCAGAGGGAAAGCGGTAACGCGATTGTAAAGGGAAAGTCGGGAGAGGGGAAGTGGAGGCAGGGCCCGCGGGGACGGGCCTTGGCCTGTGCACTGAGCCGCCCTCGGTGTGGCTGACGCTGTGTTTCGCCTGCAGCCGGAGGACCTGGACCCCTTCCAGGACGCTCTGGAAGACAGAAGGTACCCGGGGGAGGTGACCATCCCGAGCCCCAAGCCCAAGTACCCGCAGTGCAAGGAGAGCAAGAAGGACCTGATAACGTAAGCCTGGCGCGGGCGCCCTGTCCTCGCGCCCTCTATTTGCTACTTTAAAACCGGCTTGTGCGTGCCTTGCCGTTTGAGCATGCGACATCCGCAGCGTGTAGATGTCCCCAGCGGCCAGGGCAGCAGAGCGACCGCCACGTGGCCGCGCGTGTGTTCCCGCGCTCTGGGCCGCGGAGCCGCCGTCCTCATCCAGCCGCGCACCCGCAGCTTCTCCAGGGCGCCAACCCCTTGCAGACATTGCAGCTAAACTGGAAACAATGAAACTTTTTACAAGTTTTTTAAAACATACTTACTATTCTGGCTGTTTTTGTTTTTGTTTGGTGGCAGATGTCCAACACCCAGGTGTGATGGGAGTGGTCATGTGACTGGTAATTACGCCTCACATAGAAGGTGTGCCTTCATTTTCCTCATGGTGGATCCTGTCTTTCCAATTTATTGTTTTCAGCTTACCTCAACAATGCTGTCCAAGTCCCCCGTCGACTGTGTGTGCCCGCGCAGTGCTCCATGTTGACCTGCACCGTGTGCTGATGGGCGTGTTGTGGAGTGTGCTTGATTGGAAAATAAGCTACCTAAATTGGGAAAATTCCTTACATTTCAACCAAAGAGCACACATATTTTTATCTTTTTTAAAAAGTGACTTAACAAACCTGTTTTCTTAAATTTACATGCAGAGTTCATTATAAAAAGTCAACATACAGCACTTGCCCCATTGCTTTTCTGCATTAAACTTTAATTTCAATTTTGTGTGTGTGTGTTCGGAGCGCCAGCTGGTGGAGGCTACTCACGGACTCTCTGGCCTGTCTTACAGTCTGTCGGGCTGCCCGCTGGCTGACAAGAGCATCCGGAGCATGCTGGCCACCAGCTCGCAGGAACTCAAGTAAGACTGACGGCATCGTCCTCCTTTAAAAGCCTGCTCCCTGAGCGGGCACAGACGGAGGTGTCATCCGAAAAGAAAATGTCTTTACGAAGCCACGTGCACAGCAGCGCATGCCTGGGTCCTCGGGATGTAGTCCCTCCCCAGCAGCTCCCTCTGCTCCCCCCTCTCGTCTGTCTCTAGTTCTTTCGGTCGTATCCTTTCTGTCTCCATTTTCCCAAAGCACAGCGTGCTCTCCGGCAGGTGTGCGTGCACAGGGAAGGGAGATTCTGCAGGGTTTCTCAGACTTTTAAGAAAAGACCAAAACTTAAAAGTCAAAAATTGACGTTTTGAGAGTCAGTAGTTCATGTGATTCCTTAACGCTTAGACGTTCACTAGCACTGTGACAGGAAGCTACAGGGTAACAGCCGGCCCCTCAGGTTCCCAGCGGTCAGAGCCACGACTCTCAGACAGCGACTCAGGCCTTCACACACGCGTCCCTCTAGCGGCTGCCTCTCCGGCTCCTCTGTGTCTGTAGTTTTTCTATATTTTAAACGTAATCTGGTCTCCGGCACTTACGCCTCCTTAAGTGCACACAGGTGATGAGCCGTGTCAGTTCCCGGCAGACTGTGGAAGAGGTGGGCGCAGGTACTAGGAAGGGCACCGCGCAACGGGGCTCTCGCTGGAGTGGACGTGGGGTGGACGTGAGGAAACCAGGGGCCCGTGCTGTCCTCAGTGCCCTCGGGCCACACTGCTTGGCTTCCTCCTCGCTAGGAAATGGCTGTGTGGCCCGTTAGAGAAAATGCTGTCTGCAGGCCCTGCGTGATTCCTTCCCAAGACCGCGACCGCTGCGCCGACCAGGCTGTCCGGGTGCGGGGCTCCGTTCACTCGTGTCGTCTCTTACAGGACCCCTGTCCAGGGCCCTAGCGCCGTAGACCACCTGCTCATGTTCAGTGGCCTTCTGAACTAGCCCTCCGGCCACCAGGCTGTTGAAGTCTTCTTCATGGCGTGTAAACAGCAGAGGGCGCCCTCTTCCCAGCGGCCATAAAGCCCGTAGCATCCTCCACAGTGCCTCCCAGTGGACAGGATTAGCAAGAACAGCTCAGCCCGCTGGGTTCCGGCATCTTTTTTCATAGCTTGAAACCATGCTTCTCTCCTGGCCAGGACGTGGGTCACTGCCCCTGGACCTTAGCCAGCGCCTCAGAAGGCACTTCCCTTTGACTCTGTGATGAGGACACTTGGCAGAAGTCTGGCCCGGCTTCAGCCCCACAGGCCGGCTGTGACCGGGACCGTGGCCTTCCCACAGCTCGCACCTAATGCCGCATCTAGACCCAGAGGCCAGAGTAGTGTTCTGCAGGTCTGGTTAGCACTGGTTTGCATCCCTTGACTGTGGGCTTAGAAGTTTCTGTGGATCTGAAGCTCCAGGCTGCCTGCCTCCTCCTGTTTCATCTTGGAAGATGGCGTCCTCGCCATCGGCATCTTCAGAGGGAGGCGCTGCCCTTCCCTCGTCCGCTTCTTCCCCGAGGGCCTCGCCATCCAGAGGGGCTGCCTTCTCCTCATCCGGCTGATCTGACAGCCACACTCGCTCCCAGGCTTGTCTTTGTAACCAGTGCATCTCGTTGGAGTGACTCTTTCTTAGAAACCGAAACGTGACCAGTTTTCTGGATGGTTTGTGTTTATCGTTGGATCTTCGATTAAATGTACACAATAAAGGTGTAATGCTGAAATAAGCAGTTCTCACTGGTCTTTTCCAGCTGTCCGTAGGGCACATGGTTTCCTTTCTCCTTGGAATTGTGATTCTCCCATCCACTGCTCTTACCTGAGTCACAGGCCGCTGTCCATCCGGGAGATCACGCAGCTCCCTCCAAAGAAATCAGGCCCGGCTCTGGTCAGAGCTTCTTCTTCACATGTGTTCTCAAAGCTGCTTCCCTGGTGGAGAGCGTGACCGGCACCGGCCGTGGCACAGCGGCTCCCACGTCTCGTGAGACAGTGGGGCCCCGCTTCCTGCAAAGAGCAGCTCCACGTGCACCTGCTGAGAAAGCACTTCCTGGAGCGGGTCCTCTGGTCCCTTCTCACACTGACGTTACACTAGTTGGCCACTAACCGGACACTCTGGGTCACGGACTGACAACTCTGCCAGATAAACTTTGGGTCTTGGGTCCTCAAACCTCTTAAACACCCCAAGATGACGCCTAGCTCGGTGCTTACCCAGAGCCACACGTTTTGAATATTCTGGAAAAGAAGTCAATAGCGTCATGCCTGATTGTGTACAACATGTAAACGGTGCACATCAGAATGTGACGTGCACATGAGGCCGTTGGCGTCTGGAGCTCCTGCTCTCCGGCCCCTGGTCTGTCTGACAGAGAAAGCCCAGGTCAGTGGCTCAGGGAGGTGGGCACAGCCCAAGGAAAGTGACTCCCAGGAGGCAGGCCAGGGCCACGCAGGCCAGGAGTCCCCGAGGCTGGAGCCCAGCCCCCACACACTTGGGGTGCTGCACGGTGTTCCTCAAGCTGCCTCCCTGGGTGAGGTCCAACCCTGCCGTTCACCAGACCCCAGGCCCAAAAATAGAATAAAACTGTCGCGAGTCAGGGGGGCTGATGACAATGAGGCTTCACGTGAGCTCTGATTCGGAAGGAACTTTCTTCTCTGACCATCTCCCCTGCTCAGACCACCTGAGAGTCGTGACAGGAAAACTTGCAGATCACATGACATGACCGTCAGCCTCTTCCTAAAGACACCATGCCCTCCCGCCTGCTCTCCTCTTCCTTCCAGGTGCGTGAGCACCTGCAGGGATGGGAGACAGAGGGTCTCAGCTACCTTTCCCTTAGGGAGCCAAACAAGCTGACTCCACGCAGCTCTAACAACGGGCCTCCAGTTGGCTTCCTGACTCGTTGCTCTTGTCTTAGGGTGCAGCGCCCCGAGGCCGCACGGGGGCAGCTGCTGCAGGAAGGTCGTGTAGGTGGTCCCGTCGGTCGCTGCTGGGCGTCACCTCCGCGTGTTGGGGCTTTGATTTAACCCGGTGCTGGGCTGCTTGGGGCTCTGCCTTTGGAAAGTTCTCTCCCGTGTCCGTGCTTTCTGGGCATCTGTCCTGTGTTTTTAGCTCAGACGCATGTACCACAGACCTTTCTGAAAACCTGGTTACATCTGTTTTAAAGTAAACTGTAAAAGCTCGAATTCTGAACGTAGGCCAAGATGTTCCTTTCCTCTGAGGCTGCTTATCCCTGGGGCTTCCCAGGCTTATTTCTCAGCTGCAAGAGCGGCTCAGGCTGCGGGAAGATGGTCTGCAAGGGCCTCAGAGGCTTCACTAGTCTCCGGCTCCCGGTGCTTTGGGCGCAGGAGTCGCCGCTGTGGCTGTGGCCTGATTCTCAGACGTAGCCCCCTCCCGTCCCCTTGCTTCACGGTGGACAGCAGTGAGTCCACAGGACCTTGCGAGTTACAGCTGCCCCGACGGAGCCCCGTTTCTCTAACAGACGCGCCTTTCTTTGCCGGAGGGGCGTTGGCCTCGCCGTGCAGGTCGCTCCTGAACAGCAGAGGTTACTGTCGGTCTGGCCTCCACATTGAGTGGGGTGGGGGTGGCATGCAACACTTGCTCTCCCACTTTAAACAGCCCCCCATGGGCCCCTCGCTTCCGTTAGAAAAATCGTTTTGTTCCGCCGCTGGCTCGGTAGCCTGGGAGTGCCTGGTCCATGTGGGACCCGTCTGCAGCCATGAGTGTGTCTGCAGGTGGGAAGTGGGTGCTGGCCGCGGGCTTCCTGGGTGCACCTGGCACCATGCATGTGACCTGGGCCTCAGGCTGCCGCGAGTTAGAGTGCGTGGGAGCCACCCCCACCCCAGGTTCCACGGCTCTGCTGGTCTGACACAGGTCCCTTGAAAGTCCCTCTGCGAAACCCCTGGGAAGGCCCAGGCTCCTTTCACAGATGTGGGAACTGAGGCGCCCAGCTGGTGTGGCTCAGTGGCAGAGCGTCGACCCAGGAACCAAGAGGTCGCCAGTTGGATTCCTGGTCAGGGCACAGGCCCAGGTTGTGGGCTCCATCCCCAGTAGGAGGTGTGCAGGAGGCAGCCAATCGATGATTCTTTCTCATCATTGATGTTTCTATCTCCCGCTCCCTTCCTCTTGCTCTAAAAATGAATAAAAACATTTTTTAAAGGAACTGAGGCTCAGGCAAGACCCACAGACAAGAGTCAGTGACACCTTTTCCACATGGCAAGCTACCTCTTCAAAATTAGTAACGCTTTAGGTGTGCTATTCCGCGGTGGAGAGTAGAGGTTTACAATTACCTGTGGCTCTAACCACACACACGCACACACATGCACACATGCACATACACACACAGGAACACACGCATGCACACATAGGCACAGGCACACATGCATGCACACACACACATGCACACATAGGCACAGACACACATGCATGCACACACATACACACATGCACATACACACAGGTGTGCACACATGCACACATAGGCACCGACACACATGCATGCACACACACAGGCACACACAGGCACGCATAGGCACAGACACACATGCATGCACACACACAGGCACATACACACACAGGCACACATAGGCACAGACACACATGCATGCACACACACACATACACACACGCACATGCACACACACACACACATACACCACTTTTCTGTCCCTGCAGTGCTCAGCATTCGGTCTCAGGCAGGGACCCCCAGGGAGGTGAGCTGGCGTGGGGTCCAATGTGGCTGAGCTGCAGACATGTCCCGCCTGGTGAGTGACGCCTCCTCTGCAGACCCCCCACACACACACACACACTTCATCGTAGGAAGTAAAGGCCAATGTAAAGGACGCCCAGAGTAGGACATGGAGTCGGGCAGAATGTCGTGAAACTTCCCAATCATGAGCTTGAGGGCGACTGCAGTCACACAGACCCCCGGATGGACGTGGAGCAGGCGCCACGCAGAGCTACACCCCACGGTGGTCCACGCGGCCCTGCGGGGGGTGAACCAGGACACCGCCTCCGTGTCTCTGGAGCCCGGCAC